ACAAAACCAGAATGATATGTCTTAAAAGAATAAGTTGTGTGAAGGAGATATACTATACTTGTAAATGTGATTATATTCTGAAATCTAATAAAGTTTGGTGATGTCATACATTTAAGACATATATATTAGCACAAAAGTGTAGATTTATATATTTCTATAAAATGTTAGATGAAATGCCATACGACAAATTTACAAAGAAGAAACATGTTAAGAAACATACGATACTTATGGTTAGGAGCGGTTCAATAATGCTTAATAAATTTAGAGGTCATGTGCAAATCTCAAAAAAAAATTGGCCTTTTATTCATAAGTTTTGAAAAAAATTGGCACTTTAATTGTAAGAAAATTAACTTAAAAAATTTTCAAAAATTTTGGGCTATAACATTTGGTCCTCTTGCACATGTCAGGAGCCGCCCTGCTTATGGTTAATTAGTTTAACTATGCTTCCACATGATTTTGAGGAAATTGATAATGGTATGACAAGAAAATTGAGTGAATATGTTATGATATTAAAAATAAACACATGATTAATTTTGCCCAATAAAAATTACAACCAGTGCAATTCATATACAAAATATGTATATTTCTGTTTTTTTAAAGTCATAAATAATTATTTCTTTCAGTTTTTTAACATATATATTATTAAAATATAAAACATTTATACTGTAGTAATTTAATGAAAAATAATTTATGATTAGAAAAAATAATTTATGGTTATTTGTTAAAGCCAACAAGAGAAGCAAAATTAGCCCGGTCCAAAACATAAAATAGACCACAAAATCCATAAACCCTAAACCCTTTGAGAAGCTCTAGATCCGAATTCAGAGAGACCCGTTTTGTGACCAATAATCATCTCTGTCTGGGAGAGAAACCCAGTTGTGTTGAACACTGAGCGAATCAGAAAGTAACCTTCTTTTGCCCTGAGAACGACAAGTACACGGCGAAGTCGGCGAGGTAGAGAACCATGCCTCATCGTCCATTTCGCTTTCTAGAATGCGTTTCACAAAACGAATAAGCCTCTTCCTGGGTCAGACGATCAAGATTCCTAGTCGCTCTCTATTGGGAAACCCATCTTTATGCAGGTCTTATATCGTCGGGCCAGTCTCTAGTTCGCCGGCGTTTCCGATTTCGAGCTGTGATGGTGTCACGGGATTGTCTCACTCCATACGTCGTCGTTTCATTGGGTACACTGCGGAACAGTTCTCGGATGATGAGTACGACTGTGAATTCGAGGAGCATAAGGTTCGTGTTTTGTTCAAGTTGGTAAATTGATTAGATGAAATGGAATCAATGAGCCTTGTGTTTTCTGGAAAAATTTGGGCTGTCGAGACATTTGGTTCAGGCAGTTAGATTACTCAAGATTGGAATTATGTTTATGTTCACTAAAATTGGAACTTGAGTGGATAAAGTTTCTCAAAATGGGAACTTTAGGTGTTTGTGAGGATGAAATGTAGATAACTTTGTCGACAATTGTTTGGTGGAACGGCTAAGTAAATGAGAGCTTTTGAACACTTTCTATTTGATTTGTTCTCTTTTGAGAAGTTTCTTCTCTTTTCATAACGGGAAATGATTTGATACATGGGATAATTTGGTTTATAGGCTTCATCTTCTGTGGCCAATGTTGATGAGTGGAAGTGGAAGTTAGGCATTCTATTGGCCAATGGTAGCGAACAAGAAATTGTTTCTAGAGACAAAAGAGATCGAAGGGATTATGAGCAGATTTCAAATCTTGCCAAGAGGATGGGACTGTACAGGTCTAGAAAGCTTAAGCTTTGTTAGGTCAATATCGAATTTCTTTACATGATCTATGTCCTAATCTAATTCTTGGTTCCACCCTTAACAGTGAGATTTACGGAAAAGTGGTTGTTGCAAGCAAGGTTCCTCTTCCCAACTACAGGCCAGATTTGGATGATAAGCGACCACAACGGGAGGTAAACAGTGCCTCCCTTGGTTTACCAATACCATAAGGCACAATTTTCTTGTAGTTTTTATGCTGAAATTGTAATGCATTTCATCGTGCAGGTAGTACTTCCTTTGAGTTTGCAGAGAAGGGTAGAGGGACTCCTCCAGGAACACCTTGATAGACAGCAGCTAAACTCAGGAAAGGCTAATGAAGGTGTAACTGATTCTCAAGCTCCTAAACAGACTGAAGAACTTCCTGATGAAAACTCTGATTCGTTTCTCGATGGCTCTGTTATGGAGAAGGTACTTCAGAGGAGGAGTATGCGGATGCGCAATATGCAGAGAGCATGGCAGGTATGACTGATTCATCTTTACCTATGGCCCTTATAACTCATTACGTTAAAGACGTTTGACTAAAGCAGTAGTTGTTTGGTTGAATAATAGGAATCTCCTGAGGGGCGTACAATGCTGGAGTTCCGAAAATCTTTGCCTTCATTCAAGGACAAAGAAAGACTTCTTCAAGCTATTGCTCGAAACCAGGTGAACTTATAAAGATGATAATCTTTGCATTGCTACTACAATGCATGGAAATTTATTTCGTTGTACGTCTGCTACGGTCGGCATGAATGATGCCTTCAAAATTCTCAGGTAATTGTGGTATCTGGGGAGACTGGTTGTGGTAAGACAACTCAACTTCCACAGTACATTTTGGAATCGGAGATAGAGTCTGGTCGAGGAGCATTCTGCAGCATCATTTGTACACAACCTCGGAGAATATCTGCCATGGCAGTTGCAGAAAGAGTGTCATCTGAGAGAGGAGAACCACTTGGTGAAACGGTAAGCCAAGATGCTTAACTTTCATATGAGCATTAATTTGAAGGTTGTCTGATTACTCCAATCAACACTAAAGAAATTTTTTAAAGATGCTTGTTTATTCTTGATTTCATACCGAACAGAGTATTTTTGGTAGGTTGGGTTTAAAGTTCGGCTAGAAGGAATGAGAGGAAAGAATACCCATCTTCTGTTTTGTACAAGTGGTATTCTACTCAGACGATTGCTTAGTGATCGCAATTTGGATGGCATAACACATGTTTTTGTTGACGAGATTCATGAAAGGGGCATGAACGAAGGTACAGATTGTATCTATTGAATAATATGTTTAGGATTTTGTAAGTTGAGTCTCATAATTGTGCCCCTTGTTTATATGGTTGCAGATTTCTTAATAATAGTGTTAAAGGAGCTTCTTCCACGGCGTCCAGATTTAAGATTGATTCTCATGAGTGCCACTTTGAATGCTGAACTCTTTTCTAATTATTATGGAGGAGCACCTACAATTCACATTCCTGTAAAAATCTGCTCCTCATCCTGACCTTAGTCTTAACGCTCTGGTTATTTCTCTGTGAAGCCTTGAACGTACAATTTTTTTTCCAGGGCTTCACACATCCAGTGAAGACACATTTTCTGGAGGATGTACTGGAAATGACTGGATATAAGCTGTCCTCTTCCAACCAAGTTGATGATTATGGCCAAGAAAAGACGTGGAAGACGCAAAAGCAGTTAATGCCACGCAAAAGGAAGAACCAGATCACTTCTCTTGTTGAGGTACTTAGCTAAATTTTTTCTAGCCTCAGATGATAGGTCAAGTTTTACCAACCTATGTTTCTGTTGATGAAGTATGTTTGCTGAGCACAGACCAAATCTTCCAATAACATTAGTTCACAGGTTTACCATAACATTGGCTGTAATCACCAATCTTTCTTCAAAATTGCAGGAAGCTCTCACCAAGTCAACTTTTGAAAGCTACAACTCTAGGACACGTGATTCGCTTTCGTCTTGGATGCCTGATTGCATAGGATTTAATCTCATTGAGGCCGTTCTCTGTCACATATGCCGCAAAGAACGTCCAGGCGCTGTATTAGTATTTTTGACAGGATGGGATGATATCAGGTCTCTGAGGGACCAAATTAAAGCCCATCCTCTCCTTGGGGATCCCAATAGGGTCTTGCTGTTGATGTGTCACGGTTCAATGGCAACTGCTGAACAGGTAGATTTATCTCCTTATGTACTTTGTTACCTTTCAATTCATGGATATATTGCTTGCTACTGTTGGCTAGGAACAACTACTTTTTGAACCCTCTGTTTCATGATCCTCATCTTTACATATTTCTTTGATGTTTATGCAGAGACTTATATTTGAGAGAGCACCTCCTAATATTCGCAAAATTGTTCTTGCTACAAACATGGCAGAAGCTAGTATTACAATAAACGATGTAGTTTTTGTGGTTGATTGTGGAAAGGCAAAAGAGACCACCTATGATGCTTTGAATAATACACCTTGTTTGCTACCCTCCTGGATATCTCAAGCTTCCGCTCGACAGGTGAATTTGTTATAAGAAAACCTATGCTACATGTATCTATATGTGCCATGTATATAATATATCTTTCTTGCGTTTTTCATAGTTTTACACTTGCTGTGACAACATGGACTCCTTTAACTGATCTGATAGCATGATCACCATTGTTGCAATTTCAGAAACATCTATTTGTTTCCTGGTGCATTTTTGATAGCAAGCTTTTTCTCATTTGATATGCTGAACATTTTCCCCCAATTTGGCCTTCAGAGAAGAGGAAGAGCTGGGCGTCTACATCCGGGAGAATGCTATCACCTGTATCCCAAATGCGTGTATGAAGCTTTTGCAGAGTATCAACTTCCTGAACTTCTGAGAACTCCTTTAAACTCTCTCTGCCTGCAAATTAAAAGTCTTCAGGTAGAAAGTATTGCAGACTTCCTGTCAGCTGCACTTCAGGCTCCAGAGCATTTGGCTGTAAGTGATAGATAAATGCCTTCTTGGGATTTGCCAATTTTCCTGTTGCTAGTAACAACTTTATTGGTTATCAGAATCTCCGTATATGGAAAATTATGATTCTAATTGTTTGATGCTCTTATGAATCGAGATTATAGTCCAAATAACTGTATATATCATGGCAGGTTCAAAATGCTATTGGGTTCCTGAAAATGATCGGAGCACTGGATGAGAAGGAAAATCTGACGGATCTTGGTTTGTGTTCTAAGTCCTGCACACAAACATGTTCCAACTTTTTCTTGTATCTACGTATATCATCACTGACTTTCCTGCTTGCTTTCTTTTTGACCTGTCCCACTTAGGAAAACTCTTATCGATTCTCCCGGTCGATCCCAAGCTGGGGAAAATGCTAATAATGGGTGCTATCTTCCGCTGCTTTGATCCGATCCTGACAATTGTATCAGGGCTCAGTGTCAGAGATCCTTTCCTCCTACCTCAAGATAAGAAAGACGTAAGTATAAGGATTCATGGGTGAAAATTCGTTTTTTTTTATCATGGATAATTGGCAAAGAATTGTTCTTGAACCTAAATCATTCATGCTCCTGAATTTTATTTTCATTTGTAATGGGTTTTAAGCCAACAGATAGATGGATATAGCTTCATATGTTTAATCTCGCAAACTGAGAATACCTCTGATGATTCCTTGTTTTATTTTAGTTAGCTTTATCAGCCAAGTTGAGATTCTCAGCAAAAGATTACAGTGACCATATGGCACTAGTTCGTGCCTTTGAAGGTTGGAAAAATGCTGAAAGAGAAGGATCGGCTTATGAGTACTGTTGGAGGAATTTCCTGTCTGCTCAGACTCTTCAGGCGATACATTCTCTGAGGAAGCAATTTAACTATATTCTGAAAGAAGCTGGATTAGTACATGATGATTCAACACTCAACAACAAGCTAAGTCACAATCAGTCTCTGGTTCGCGCTGTCATTTGCTCTGGCCTTTTCCCGGGAATAGCATCTGTTGTGGTAAGTCAAAGTCCTGTCTCGGGCCTAGGTGTCCTTTCTTCTTACACAGGGTTTGGTGAAGTTACCGTATTGTTCTTTTTCTTTTCACAGCACAGAGAGACTTCCATGTCATTCAAGACAATGGATGATGGTCAAGTATCACTTTACGCGGTGAGCCTCTTCAATCATATTTCCCAAGATATTGCTCGAGTGTCCTGATACGGCCATCTTTTTAAAATGGTTTTTTCATTGTTTTGATCTTTCAGAATTCTGTTAATTCGCGGTTCCCGACAATTCCATACCCTTGGCTAGTCTTTGGAGAAAAAGTAAAGGTCAATGCAGTGCTCATACGGGACTCCACCGGTGTGCCTGATTCCAGTTTGATCCTTTTCGGTGGTGCCCTGAGTACTGGAGTCCAGGTGATTTCTCTCTCATTTTCATCTCTTTACCCATGCATAGAGTCAGATTATGGAATATCGGGGAATTAAATCGGTTGAATCTTGTGTTGTGTTCAGGTGGGACATCTTAAAATGCTTGACGGGTACATCGATTTCTTCATGGATCCAAATTTGGCTGATTCCTACGTAAAGCTGAAGGAAGAGCTCGATAAGCTACTTCAAAAAAAGGTGAGTTTTTTTTTTGTTCAACTTTAAAACAAAAGTAAGTGCGAAGTGAAGTGACGCTCTTAACACCTTTGGTATCTTTACAATGTGCAGCTTGAAGATCCAAGCATGGACATTCACAAAGAAGGCAAGTACCTGATGCTTGCAGTTCAAGAACTCGTGGCTGGAGACCAATGCGAAGGGAGATTCGTTTTTGGCCGTGACACAAAGAGGCCAAGCCAACCACAATTAGAAGAGAACAAACTCTGCAAAGACGGTACAAACCCAAAGAGTCTCCTTCAGACACTTTTGATGAGAGCTGGACACTCACCTCCAAAGTACAAGACAAAACACCTCAAGACAAACGAGTTTAGAGCACTTGTAGAGTTTAAAGGGATGCAGTTCGTTGGTAAACCTCAAAGGAACAAAACGCTCGCCGAGAAAGACGCAGCTGTTGAGGCCTTGGCTTGGTTGACACATACCTCTGATAATAGTACTGACCAGAACAGTGCAGACGCAGATTCTCCACCTGATGTTACTGATAACATGCTTAAACTCCTTGGAGGACGACGCAGGCGGTCCAAGCGCAAGTAGTTGAACTCGAACCTCTCTCTTTTGTCTTGTGTACTTGTGCTCAGATACCAAAAGCAGATAGAATACTTTTATAGTGTCATTTAGGGAGAAAACAATAGTATAGGGTTAGAAACATGAAATCCAAGAAATTCGAGGGTTTTGTTGTATTTTTTAAACAAATAATTGAGGTTATCATCTTGTATATCGCCACGTGTAATTTCCCTTTCGAAGCGTTTGGTCACGCAA